TGTTGGGATAATCAAGGTCTCCGTTGGGGGGCACCACAGTATTCCACGGGCTGAGAGGGCGGATGTTTTTGCCCTAGGTACTTTTCCCGCAGAGCGTCGAGGATGTCCTTGTTTGTCCCTGGATATTGATGTAGGAGTTTTGTCACGATATGCCGGGTGGCTGACTTGCTCTTGGGGGGCTCAGGCAGGCGGAGCAGTAGGGTCCAGGTTTTGGCGGTGCCCAGGGTGCCCTGAAGGCTGTTGCAGAACTGTTGCCAGTTCTGTTGCATGAGGTTCACAGCGTAATAAGCGGCCTCCTCCGTAAGCCTTGCTATGCGAATCTTGAGGGTCCTGTTGTGTTTCTGCCGACGCCATCACTTGATCAAGCTTCGTCGAGCTTCTACAGATGGAGTAGGTGGGGGTCGACGACTTGCGGTTCGTCGGTTAACATGATATCTTTGGCTTAAGCGGAGACGTCGTGTTGTAGAGTGCTCACGCATTCGTTGAAGGAAGTGATTTCCGAAGTGGAAGTGGTTTCTCTCTGTTTACGAAACTCGTCCCAATTAACGAGTCGTGTCTTCTTGCTAATGAGGGGGACTGTAGTGATGAGAATGCAGTGGTCACTTCCGAGCGTTTCCTCGGTGTTGCGCCATTCAGCGTCTGCGAGCCTCTTGGTCATTGTCAAGTCGGGGCACGTGTCACCTGACACACTGTTGCCAATCCTGGTAGGGCAGGCAGGGTCTGGGTGAACTGTGAGGCCCTGATGATTAATGAGCTCCCACAATTTATTGCCTTACAAGGTCGCCTTGCCGTACCCCCAAGCTGGGTGCGCCGCGTTAAAGTCGCCCAGGACGACGAACCCGTTCTGCTTGGTTAGTTTGAAAGTAGCGACGAGCAGGTAGGCAAGATTCTCCTTTCGTCGACTTGGTGGACTGTAGATATTAAGCACAAAAATACTCATCTTGCCCCTTTTTACAGGCAGGATATCGATAAGGTTATGATCGATGCTACTGCCATCAATTTGGTGCTGAACAATGGTGAGTGATCTGGCAGTGTGTGTTGCGACTCTATTATCGGCGGAGGGTGTATGACCGTTATAGCCGGATCGGGATGGGACCAATCCAGCATCGCATATATATAGATGAAGAAAGCCATGTTTTTCTTCGTACATGCGACAATTCCATTGCCAAAAGGTTAGTTTATGGCAATTTCGTTGGGCCTCATTATTCATCATGACCGAGTATATGAAAAGGAAGTGAGGGAGATTCTAGGTTGGGTACTAGTTTTGCTTTTTTACGGTTTGCGTGGTTGGTATCTTCAGCCGTTTTTTCCCCGGTTGTGGTTTGGTTGCGGGTATGATCTGGGAGGGGTTTGGGGGTCGCGAGGATCTTGAGGGTGTGAGGAGTGTTCGGTGTTGCCTATTCTCCTTTCTAAGTTGCCGACTCTCCTCTTTAAGTTGTTGATTCTCAGCCCTTAGTTCCTTTAACCGGTTTAAAATTTCGGTTAGCTTCTCACTAACATCCGGCGCGCAGAGAATAGACGAAGAGGGAGTGGTCTGCTTCTTTTGGTTGTTTTGTGGGAATAGCCGCGCTGCCCAGCTCACCGTGTTCTTGCCTAGTGGCTGACGGAGTGCCGCTGGTGCCTTGTCGCATTGTGGGCTGATTGATCGTGACCTGGAATCGGACCTCGGTCTGGAAAAACACCGTTGCCTCAGTCCTGTCCTTTGTGACCCTCTGGAGCGGGAGCGTGGCCGGGAGTTGACGTGAGTGCCCTTTTGTCTTTGGTAGTATTTTAAGTCAGGTGTTGGTGGGTGGTGAGACAGCTTCTTAGGGCACTCCTTGGAGCCTGTAGGGTGGGCTCCCGTACAGAGAGCACTTCGGGGCGTACACTCGTGGCCTTTCGTAGGGTTGGAAACGCCGCACGTCACGCACTTAACAGTGTCCGGGTTGGTGCACAGATCGGCGCGATGACCGATCTCGTGGCATATGTATCAGGCGTGACGGCTGCGTGATCGTAGTTGACGTATTGCGGTAATTGCTTTCCAGTGAAAATAATAAGTGTTGTCGATGTTTTTTCCGAGCCTACGGGCTGAAAGAATCTCATAGCCCGGCGAGTATAGATTGTCGATTAGTTCTTTGCCAGTTGTGGCGGGCGGAATGCAACGCACCACGCCGCGAGCCGCGGTAATATACGCGGTAACTTCATATTCGTTGTCACCAAAACGCAGGGTGGGAATGTCTCTGATGTGTCGGACCAGGTCTTCACTCGGGGTGCTTGCGATGGCGATATTTTGTATTCTGTCCATGCGGACTTGGGATGTTGTCGAGTTTGGTCGGTCGCGGGTATGTTGCTGAGTTTTCTCCGCGTTAGCGTGAGAGAGGTTGATAATCTCGAGGTTGGAAAGATTCAAGGCTCCTCGCGGGCGAATAGTAACTTTAAAATCGTCTCGAGGGAATGGAGGAAGTCTTGGTTGTCTATACTTCGTTTCAGCTTCGGTCCAGACGCAGCCAAAGCTACAAGCGCGAGCTCCGGGTTTTCAGCATCCCTGCCAAGTACGCGCGCTCGTGCAGTGCCAGCACTGTTCTGGGCCACATGCTCGCGCTTGTAGCATCGGCTGCGTCTGGACCGAAGCTGAAACGAAGTATAGTCACGGTCCTCTGCGGCATCGGTTGAGAGCCTGAAATTGTGGCCTTGGTATTTTGTGGCTTGACCTTTTTGGCTCTTCGCCCGCGTTGTTTTACCCAGTCGTCTCGTTCGAGTTGGTCTTCTTGGTGGGGGATGCCCATAACATCGCTTGCCTCCATGGCCGTTGCCATTCTTGGATCGTGAGCCGGAGGCGGCGTGGGGCGAAGGCCCACGCGGATAAGCCTACCGCAGGAGCGCCGGGTAAAATGTTGCGTACGTGGCGGCCTTCGCTTGGGAACTTCGAGAGGTGATATTTCTAAGGAAAATTCACTCACGCGCTGGATGATGGTGTGAACTTGTTCCTTGCGACGAACTGCATTGATTGAGACCAAAATTATTTCTGGATTATACCTGGGGCTCTGTGTTTTCGGACAAATTCGTAAAATTCCGAAAAACACCCGCCGGTAAAATTTGTGGCTATTCGGATTTATCCGATAAACTCCGAATTGTTATGTGCCCCACAATTTTTTTTTCCTTTTTTTTTTTTTTTACAATTTGAGCATCGCAGGAAGAATGGTACTGGGAAAATAACAGCATAATTATCTTTCAAGCCTCGGACCGTTGTCAAAAGGGGATCTTACGGCTTGTCTCGTCAAGATTGGTTCAGGGTTACATCAGGTCTGTTCTCGAGCACGCGTGTACAGTCTGGGATCCACCAACTGCTGTTGATAGAAATAAACTTGCAAGAGGTCAAAACTTAGCGGCTAGATATGCTCCCGGGAATTATAACAGGCGACTCAGCATGACAAGTCTGAAGGAATTCTTAGGCTGGGAATCTCTTGAAAAAAGAAGGAAATGTACGGCTAAATTTATTTCATAACATTTATCACTGCAGAATTGGTATACAGCGCGAAAACTACATTTTTCCCCCACATTATACTCCCGTCGAAAGGTACGTGAATGTAAATGTAACACAAACCAGTTTAAATCTCCGTTTTTCCCCAAATCTATTAGCGAATGTAATCAATTGCCTTCGGAGGTTGTTGACATTTTGGACAATGACGCTTTCTTTGCTGCATTGTGAGAAGTATTTTCTTTTTTGTTTCCCGTATACTGGGTATGCATGTGCGCGTTCTGTTATGCTCCTTTGTATTGCTTAAATGTATCACATTGATGTACATTTCCCCCCTACTGTAATGCCACCCTGGCGCTGTGGGAAAGTGAATAAATAAAAGGAAACAGGTCACCGTACCATTGGTGTCACGACAAAAGCCACTCTTTTGGTTTCCAGTTTGGGCCATGGGATTTGGGATCTACAGATAGGAGAGGGTAGGTTTCTTGGGGTAACAGTGAAAGCTATGGACCATAGAGCATATATAAAATGGGGAAGAGGGGCAGTTGAAACTTCTCTATTGCATCCTTAACCACTCCACCTCGCGCGGCCGCGGGATAGATTGGTCGGATGACTACGAGCTTCCTTGCGGCTACCTCCGGCAGTTTATTGATTTTAAGGTATCGACGTTTATCGAAGCCACACTTGTGTGCAACCTTTGTCGTGGGACAAATTAGTATTGCCAATGACACCAACGCCAAATTCAACTGAAGAAATCTTAATTGATACGAGCGCATTTTATTTTTTATCTGGCATACCTTTGCATCCGGGTATTATTTATTATTTTTTAATAGGAAACACTGCGAAAGTAATCTCCGAATTTCGGAGAAATGGGGATTTACAAAAAATAAACTCCGATAAACACCGAATTTTCGCTAAAAAATAAACTCCAAAAAACGCCCTCCGAATTTCACGAAAAATAAACTCCGAAAACACGGAGCCCTAATATGCATTTTGCCGGTGATTGGGATCTCTGACAGCGGGAGCCCTTGAATGTTACCTCGGGCAGGGGAAAAAATCATTTCTCTGGAATAGATACCACGCGCCCAGCTAGCAAAAGCGACGACGACCAAGGGGTGGTAGCAATAAATAAACCCGAGTCAAGACTGGTTCACATCCAAGGGCTTCTAACTACGGAATATGGGCTGAGTCACACAGCACTAACCATGGCACCTCGTCCGCATGCCATCTTTCGTAGCTATAGTTCACACACCTTGCGCCAAGGCAATGCTCACGTTCTCTTTCTGCCGTAGCTTGGTCGTTTCAGATTGCATTTTTTTTTTCGACTGCTCATGTTTACTCAGGTGCTCGTAAGACTCAGTCGTCTTCCAGCCGAACCAAGCTGAACCTTTTATGCGCCCTTCAAAGTCGTATATCTAAGCCATAATCCAACCTTTTCTTTATGTTCTGTTTTTTTTTTTTTTTCGCCTGTCGGTCTAGATGCGTAAGAAATAGAATTCGTCGAGCATAAACTAAACCAAACTACATACAATAAAAAATGCAGGAAGACCTCAACGTGATCTTGGTGGACTGGAGAGGAGGTGCTTCCCAACTGAACTACATACAGAGCTCCGGTGACACAGCCCTCGTGGGAAGACAAATTTCTGTACTCGTACAGGGCCTGATGAAGTCGTACCCGGACGCCCTGAAGGCCTCAGACGTCCATGCTATTGGCCACAGCCTGGGCGCGGGAGTGGTCGGTTTCTTTGGGAAGCATTTCAAGAATAGTACCGGTACCTTGATTGGACGAATTTCAGGTACGTCTTTGGCACACATATATAATACATTTTCGTTGGGTTCGTGGAGTGAATATGATACTTGATTTTTTGCGTATATATAAGTAATTTAGTACCACTGCACATGTTTGAAATTGTACGAGTGGTAGAAGAGTCAAGCAATTATTATATCTACCATAATAACCGCCGTTACGTGAACTTTAATGCATCAAAGCTCTTTTTTTTTCGTTTCGTGTTTTTATCAATAAGGTTTTTACGGCGGAGCTGTTAAGGGCTAGGTTCCCCAGGATCGTGTCCGTGTATGTCGACACAAGACTACCTGGACAGCTGTCGCCATCTATAAGCGACGGCGGCAAGCACACAACCAGTATGGTTTTCGCCGTCGCTCGTAGATGGTGGCAACCTTTCCAGCTATAATAGAAGAATGGATAGTTGGGCGCGTTGGTGGGAATTCATCGTAGGAAACAGCGCGAAAAACAGACGAGGACGAAGAAGAAGCACACAGTGTATCGAGTACAGCTCCGCTGGTCTTTCTGGTTCACGAGAGTGGAAAGGCTGAACGCTTTTTTTTTTTATTCAATTCATCCTCCACAGCTTATAGCCTCTGCTATGCAGAGCGCATCGCAAATTGTGAAAAGAGCAGTCATCTGAGGACCTATAAAATTACTTAACGTTTATTGACATCTATTGATTTAAGTAAATTGTCACGGGTGGTGACCAAAAGAACAATAAATAAACAGGAAGAAATAAACGTTTAATGTGGCGAACTTGTGCCCAAAACAAAAAGGGAATAGAAGATAACAACAGAGCGTTACGGGCGTCGAAGTCGGCGTAACAGCACGGTCGAACGCCGGGGCGAGACTGACTGCGGCTAGCCACGTGCAGCCCCTTATGTGCATGCGTGTGCTTCTGGAATAATCGGCGTTAAAGGTTCGACGCGTAGAACATTTGGACCTCGAACAAGAAACAGGATTCTCGAATTTACCAGAACACTAAATTGCAGGAATAAACAAAAGATGCGTCCCTCCAATGAATAGAGCCCTGTCTTTTCGCGCGGGAGGCAGGCACTATAACCGTTAGGCGCTGCGCGCGCGGCAGTATATGAATTCCTAGTAGGGCTAAGCGTCGATTAAAACTTTTAACCCGATTAATCGCCACATTTTTATTAATTAATCTATCAATCGGCCTTGTTCATTTTCATGCATAATATAAAAAATATTTTATCCTGCTTTTGGTAAGTATGTGACAAACGGCGCAATATACAATTTAAATTTCAAATGAACTGTGTGTGTAGTTGAGAGCAGTTCAAAGACACTCACGCGCACAAATTATTGCTTGGGCTGCATGAGTCAAAGCGTTACGTTGACATTCCCCGGCAAAGGTGACCTCCCTTGATTGTTCACAATAGTCTCTGCTGCGGTAAACGGACAGCCGAAAGGAGTTGACATAAGCGGGACAAGTTGCAACCTTCTGCAAATGTCTCAAGATACAGTATGGAAGGAAAACCTAAAGTTTTCCTTCCATACAGGTGTACTCGCGCACGTCTGCGTGGTGAAAACATTGATATTATATTTTTTGGGTTCGTCAAAAATTTACCGATTAACCGGTTAAAAAAATTAATCACGATTATACCATTAATACATTAATCACTAAGTTAATTGATCAATTGCCTAGCCCTAATTTGTAGCATATTGTTTTATAGAAGGAGGCGATTGGCCGCAGTCTATGGGAGCTCTTTGTTATGATATTGGGGGAATGCAGCTGCTAGTATTATAAGTTTAAAGTATTCGTTTATTTCGGTACCCATATTCGCCTGTTGCTGTTGTTTTCTTTAGCTGAAAACATATCTTCCAATAATAGCCATAATCGCTATATACGGCATGTGGTATGGGCATGACACGAGATAGAGTGGCGTCTATAGGAAGTATTCACTGCACGTCATATTTGTGGGTGCTGTTTAAAGCGCATGCTCAGAACGAGGTCACATCACTAGGCTGCTAATGCCGGCACTCTCGATGGTGCAGGATGCACGTTGCCAAAAGAACTCTGGAAGCTCGCCACCAGCACGCGCTCAGAATTCGCGCACACAGATATGGCCGCCAGCCAGTGAATACTCGCTATTAGCGATGTGCGCGGCCAAAAGCGTCGCTGTGGTCAGCTTTCCATGATTGGCCAAACCATGGGTATATCAGCACTGCCAGATTTTCAACTTTGACGGTGTTAGTTTCGGATTGCGATAGCTCCTAGCTTCTACTGTGCTTTTTAAACACACCATCGAACTCGTCGTCGCACCTGATGGTAAGTAGCCAGAATAACAACTGGTGACGTCACGGCGAGGCAAATCCCAGTCGTGACGTCACGGAGGGAAACCATGAGAGGGCGCCACCGAAACATCTCGGGGCTAATAGTCGGGATGAAGTTGCTTTAGCACTTTCATAAACTCAAACTGAGTTTTGTTGTGCACTTGGTTGGACTGAAGCCGGGGTTTCACTGCCGGGCTATATCGGTGGTTTTAATGCCGCGTACCTCATCTCTCCTTGAACTCATTTCTATGCGGCATCTGAAGCACGGATCTCCCGGTGACTCGCTTTCGAATCTAGATGGCGACAGTGTTTTGCATGATGTAAAAGAAGTGTGACCCCGGCTTTAGAGACACTCTGAATGTGTGGCTCAAGAAACTGGGTTAGAAACTTGGGCTAGACTACTGGCGACGTGCGCAATCGAAAGCGTCGCTGTGGTCGGCCTTCCACTATTGACCGAATGCTGACTATGACGTCAGCAAAGGATTTTTCATCGACTGAAATAAGAGTAATGTACGAATTTGAATTTTGATAGTGCTGACAGTGTTGCTTTTACAGCGCAATTATTTCAAGCTGCCACCATGCTAATTACGAACACCATCAAACTTGTTGTTCGCAAGGTAATGACGTCACGAGAGGGAACAACAGGAGGGCGCCACCAAAAACAATTCGTCGCTAATAACCACATACATTTATATAATAAAAACAGCGCTAGAGACGAAACGATGACTCACAGTTCTATGTTAATACCTTGTTTCTGAGCCTCGATTGTCTACTTATCTCTCGTATTTTATTGTTTTTTTTCCCACGATTTATAACTGTCTGACTCAATATTATATTCAGTGACTCGGTTAATAAAAAGGCGCTAGTTTTACCTAAAATAGAGGCAGATACAATGGCTGGGTGAACCTAAGAAATTTGCTGACAATAACTTCTGAGCTGTATCTGGCAGCCCTGAGCACGCTTAAACCTGAAGTATTGCTTCCTGAAGCGGGGTTGGAACCGGTCAAATGAAAGCTCAAGAATAATCAACTGAACAATTTACTTTTCTTTGTGACTACAGCAGCAAACATATCAAAGAATAAAAATCTAGAGAAAATATACAATGTAAAACATGAAAAAATAGGCTCATTGCCGTATCCTGCGCATGACGTGGCGACGATATCTGTAGTGCTTTCTGGCGCGTCGATAGGGAGTTTTCGTAAATCGTTTTGGACGTCCCGCAACGCCCTCCGCAACCCGCCACGATACTTGAACTCTACAATCAAGGCCATTGGCGCTCAGGCGCGGTAGCGGCTTCTTCGTTGCGGAAGGCTTAGCGGAGGCGGAAACGCGGTCTACGAAATCTCCCTAATAATTTGCACCACGGAAGTGTGCAAATTCCTACAGTTGGGCTTGGAACGCGCTCCCGACCGTGAACGTGCTCTGGTGACATCCTGGTTGTATAATGAACTCAGTTCACCACCTAGAACCCTGTACAATGTGTCTTGGCAAGCCGCCAGCTGCGCAGTCAAATTCCTACCGGGTCATGAGAAGCGCGCATACCGCCACCAGTGCGCTGCGTCCCATTCCAGCGCAATGAGGGCACACCAGCTGCGCTTCCTATTTTCCGCGGCGACGTGTTACTATTTCCACTGGTTGCGACGGCAAGTACACACCCCTATCGGCTGGCACTGCAGGCGATACACGGGTATACCACCGTAAAACAGAGGAGTGTAGGGCTCTAAGAGTACCATAGTTTTCTCAATGGCTTAATTTTCTTGCCCTGCTTATGAAGCTACTAAAACATCCGTTAGCTCGTGAGATATGCAGAATACAGTATATAAACAGTTATGAACCTGCTGGCCTGAAATTGGACCCAATATATTTGTTTGTTTGTTGTTGTTCTTTTTACATAGAACTACGTCTTTTCCCGCGCTTGGAAGGGGGGGGGGGGGGTGTTGCAAAGTTGGAAGAATAATGTCATGAAAACTTGGTCAAGGAAGTGACGTCACACGGATAAGGCCCAAGCGCCCTCCCTGGCGGCGCGGCGCCTGCTACCGAGATCCGCGCGGTGCGCACGCGCGTGCTTTCCTTATCTCATCTGTTGTCTTGCTCGCTCCAACGCGACGCACTCTTGTCTGATTGAAACGGCGATAGAGGCCGCTCCGGCAGCCGTGATTCACTCAGAACGCTTTTATTTTCCGTTCTGGTGGTGGCATCTGGTTGGAGCTAACGCGCTACGTGCTACCTCTGGTGCCATGTTGAGCCACCGCGACCTGCGACAGGGAAGAGAATGTGATGACTTACCCCGAAAATGGGCAGGGATGCGGTTGGAGTGCGAACTCGATAGTAAATGCTTCCACAAGTTCGTATGATTCTCGCTCTAACTTCAGGTAAGTACCGTTCGTCAGAACTGGTAATTATACTTCAGCCTCTGTCGCACTTACTATTAAGTTCACAACTGCTTGTTCAAAGCTTTCGCATGTGTTGTCAGCACCTGGGTTCCAGAGTGAGCCCGGGTAGCTGATTGCCGTCGGCAAAAGCGGTTAAATGTCGCCTCGGACTACCAGTCAGCTGCTGCTAAAATGTACGGCAAGTGGTACTCCAACCTCCACAGCTTTGGAGGTGGCTGCTCCTCGCGTTGAGTGTGCTTTGAAAACCGACGTGTCAATGCCCGCAAGCGTTAGTGTGTGTTTTATCCAGTGAGCTACTTTGTCCCGTGCTGCTGGGCGGAAAGCC